ATAGTTTTTATGTTTATTTGTGTGGTTCAATCATTTGTTCATATTCATTTGATCATTTTGCTAAAACTTTGTGATTATTTTATATTGATTATGGTCAGTTTTCTGTAACTTATACATTTGTTTTGTTATTTCAGCTCAAGGAAGATTAATATAAAATGCTTTACATGAGCATGGCGGGCAGCGCGGTGGCGCAGTGGGTTGCACAATCGTCTCACAACACTCAGGTCACTGGTTTGAGTCCCGGCTGGGTCAGTTGGTGTTTCTGTGTGGAGTTTGCATGTTCTCCCCGTGCTGGTGTAGGTTTCCTCCGGGTGCTCCGGTTTCCCCCACAGTCCAAACACATGCACTAGTTGTGTATGAGTGTGTGTGTGAATGAGTGTGTATGGATGTTTCCCAGTACTGGGTTGCAGGTGGAAGGGCATCCACTGTATAAAACATATGCTGAATAGTTGGCGGTTCATTCCACTGTGGCGACCTTTAATAAATAAAGGGATTAAGCTGAAAAGAAAATGAATGAATGAATAAAGATGCAGTTTTAAAATCATTCAGATGTTTATATAGAGAGCAGATTTGTCGGCTGAACATTTATTAAGTCTCTTAAATCCCCTTTCTTTCCCATTCTGTTGCTCACTTTAAACTGCAGCAGATCGTCTTGACCATGTCTACGTACATGCCTAAATGCAGTGAGCTGCTGCCATGTGATTGGCTGATTAGACATTTGCTTTAGTGAGCAGTTGGACAGTCGTACCTAATAAAGTGGCCATATATATATATATATATTCATTCATTCATTCATTTTCCTTCGGCTTAGTATCCATCAGGAGTCGCCACAGTGGAATGAATCGCCAACTATTCCAGCATATGTTTTACACAGCGGATGTCCTTCTGGCTGCAACCCAGTACTGGGAAACACCCATACACACTCATTTACACACACACACTCATACACTATGGCCAGTGTAGTTGATCAGTTCCCCTATAGCGCATGTGTTTGGACTGTGGAGGAAACTGGAGCACCCGGAGGAAACCCACACCAACATGGGGATAACATGCAAACTCCACACACAGAAACATCATCTGACCCAGCCAAGACTCGAAGCAGAGACCTTCTTGCTGTGAGACCACAGAGCAACACCACTGAGCCACCACGCCACGTATATATATATATATGTGTGGATGTCACCGCGTTCTCGCCCTGTTATGAAACTCGTTCACTTAATTTTTGGGATTTTGTTTTTGTCTTACCTCATTGCTGGAACTGCTCTCCCCCGGACTCGAAACCGATCGCTGTGGTCAACTTCTCCTCTCTGCGTCTCGAGACTCGAGCGCGAAAGGGAACAGCGTCACACTGCCCCGCAGCGTTCGCTTGAAAAAAAATAAATGCAGCAGTACGTACCTCCCGGGACGTATTCCGATGTCTCCAGAAACGTCCGCGGGACTACGTTTTCAGAATGAGCTTGGGTTGTCATGTATTGTTGGCTTTCATACATTATTAAAATGAATCTTGGAAAATTCCAGATTGTTGCCAAACATATGCAATCTTTCTGCAGATTCTGGATGAAGCGAGAGAATGGGGTCAGTGAGCCTGATAACTGGACTAAACAGCATGTGGACGGTGAAGACTGCGCTAGTCTGGGTCACCCAGACGGAGAGACAGATTTCTGGACTGATGCTTACTGTTTTGAAGAGAAAAGATTTGTGTGTGAAGCTGCAGCAGCTGTTTGATCCAATCCTGCTGTCAAAATACACTTCTGTTATTAGTATCACGGCTTATAAACAAAGTAATTTTCACAAAGCTTATTAAATGAACTGAATGGCTTATATTTTGAGACTGTGCTTCATGAAGCATTACAGAGACTGTATATTAGGGGTGTCAAAAATAATCGTTTTTTCGGTGCACTGCGATGC